ATTAGAAACAGCAAGCAATTCCGGGTTTAGCGGAGGATATACTTCTAACCGTACTGCTGTCAGTATAAGGGAAGAAAGAAATGCTATGTTCCGTTCCAACCGCGGGCGAGGTGCTCACAGGTCTCGGCCTCGTAAACGTTCGCATACGCAGTCGGTGGGCAATGCCAGTGAGAAACCTCGCTATACTACCGTGGCTTGCTTCTGCCTTGCTGATCGCTCCGAGGAAAAGGTTCCAAACACCGTGACAAGGCAGATATTGCACAAAGCGGGACTAGGATTGAAAAAAATGAAATTTTGTTTGGATGACAACGAATCACAAGTAGTAGAAAAGTTAACCGATGAATCTGGTTTCCCGCAGCTAAAAACTTGCGGTGGTTTTGAAATACTTCAGTGTCTGGGAAACTGTCGAAATTTAACTGTCGTAAATTGTGCTTGGTCTATGCAAGAGTTGAAGGCACATATGGGCTCACAATCAAAAATGTATTTGCGACCAATTCAGAAAAACTTGAGTACGAAGCCTATCCATGATGTACCAACTTCAAATCTCAAGGAAATGTGTCATGGTTGTAAAGAGGAGTTCCCGACTCTTGAATTGAGAGACCACTTGAAATACTGTACCCATTTTTCTTCTTCATCTGAGTCGGACACTGACAGTCCTGCACCAATTTCAGATAATATCTTGCAACGTGGTACAACTACTGATGTGATAACTTCGGATATTATTCAGCCTGAGACAACAATTGATTTGACATCAACTGCCATTCAACAAGATACAACCACTGATTTGACAACAACAAATGCCATTGGACATGAAGCTACTGATTCAACAAGTAAAGCAGATGATAGTACTCAGGTACGTAAAATGATGCTCCCATTTCTAAAATATATAAGACACTATAATACGCTGCTATATGGCTGTGTTAACGATACAAAATAATTCCCAGGAATACTGCTAATGTTGACAAACCAACTTGTGTTGCCCATGAGAGATGTACTTAGCCCTATATAATGCGGCCAATAAAAAAAAAAAAATTCTGTGTTTCTGGTAACCCTACCTACCCACATTTTTGGTAAAATGGAAATGTTTATTTTATGCAAATTAGCTGTACAGTTCGTATTTTTATGCAAATGAGTTAAGTTTTCCCACATTTAGCAGCCATAACTATTCTGTGTTCAAAAATCTCTTCATATTACCTTCTAAAATGAACAAAAATTGATAGTTAATTTCATCATGTCAAACTAATAATTGTTTAAAATCCTCCTATGTGATTTTATAGGATGTAGACTGAACATGTGGGAAAAATAATAAAATAACTAGAGCCGAAAGCTAATATATTCTGGTTCCCAGAACATTAGTGAGAAGGCAAACCATTATATTGTTGCGAAGATAATAATGGATTGAGCTAATTTGCATATTTGGGGGTGGGTAGGGGTGCTCATGGCTACCAGAACCACATCTACTCGTTCCAAGGTGAAATCCTCTCAGTGGTTTACCGAGATATAAGCAAATAGTGGATTGAGCTAATTTGCATATTTGTTTTTGTTTCTTTGCTAAGCTTTCATTGGTACCCCTGTATTTTTATAATGGTAGCGTTTTATCCATGGTTTCGCAGTGTTTTGGGTCTGGTTAGGTTAATATTTTTCGATCAATGTAATGACGTTAGGGTCCGGCCACGGCTAGGTACAAAAATGTAGCATTTATATTGCTTATGTCTTAATAACTCTGGATGTGCAATATACATATATCATCATGCCATTGCCAATAACACTTGGTTTATTCTTTTATTTTCACAGCGTAATCAAGACTTGTCTGTGAGTGATGTTGTTGGGAAAACTGTTGATTTTTGTAAAACAAAGAATGTTTCAAATCCGGTAGAGATTTTAAAATTTTTTCAAAGTAAAATGGTCACTGGGAGAAAGCTTGATATTGATAATCCAGCAGAATGTCCGAAAGGTTCTACAAATTTTATAACTGTCAACCGCTCCAATATATTAATCACTGGTTTTAATGAAATTAGCATTATGGAAAATCTGCGAGACACGCTTGAAGTCAAATTTTATGACGAGGTAGGTAAATTTTAAAAATTTTACCCTTTTATTTTTTGTTGATTTCTGAGTGACCATGCATTTACTGGGTAATGTAATACTTGAATGAATCACTTATGGTAATTATGTCTTTGTATGCTTAAATTATTATCACTCAGTTAAGGGGCCATAATCTTCTTCTTTCTTCTTCCATTGTTTTTTTCGCCACACACTAACTGTACTTCAATCCACTCAAAACTTTACACACACCTTGTGGGCCATGAGATCTAGTGCATATAACTGTTTCGAATAAAATCAGTCACATGGTTCGTGTTCATGTGACTTGTGCCATTTTGTTTTTTTTCGAAAAAAGAAGCTAAATTCTTCAAAATCTTCTCCAAAACTTCCTACCAGATCCCCTTTGATATTTTG